AAGGGAGGTTGAATAAGCAGTGCAGCCAATTCACCTGTATTTAGCAATGTCCAGAAGAATCTTATTTGTAGCAATCATGTAAGGCGGACAGTCCAGCGAGTGAGAGAGTTCTGCCCTGAGCATTATGAGAGTTGTGTATAACGATCCCTGAAAGAACAAATAAAGTCAACCTGTGCAATCAAGGAAATAAGGGAAGTGTGTGATAGTCTAAGAATTATTGTGTAAAAACGTGTCACAAAGTTAAAGGAGCATGTTCTATAAAGATACTTAATGCTAATATGGCAAAGTCATCTAAAAGGTATTTTATGAAACTGTTCACACTGAGTTTGCGTCTTTCACAAGGAAACATTTCTGTTTCACGAAATGTTGAGTTATTTATGAGTACAAAGTTGAAGAAGGAACAAAAACTTACTATTACCGTTCTTGCTAAGATTTTCAGTAAAATAGAATACTTACTTGAAGTTCTAATTCTTTTTCGTCCATGAAGGGCTCTTGTTGTGTTACTTGAGGCAAAGTAGTCAGAGGTACACGATTCTCATTCCAAGTTGGTGAAGATGGAACAGCAGGCTAGGATAGTAGGGTTCTGAAAAAATATGGTTGAGGCAGCCGTTTAGAAATTTCGCGCTCCATCTAGAATTACCTCGCACGAGGTGATTATAGCAACAATTGGCGCAATCCTCCACCAATCAGAGTGCGCTCATCTCTATAATCACTTGAGCAATTGAACTACATGAAAATAGAAATTTGGGGCAAAGTCTGAGGCTTTGTAGTTATTTAAAAATTCAAGTGGACTTATCAAAAGAGAAGCGATAACGGAGGCGTGTACCTGAATGTTGACGTCACACGAGTTAACATACAACACGCGAACAAAGCTCTTTGGGGCATTTTGATAGCCTCTACCATTTATAATCAAACTAAGTTACCATCAGTTGAAAATATAAATTGTACAACATGAAACAGATTATAATTTACCTGGCTGTTGGTTGAAGTTGTTTCTCTGTTGCCAACAGATCCTGCGGATACAAAAGGGGTTCATCAAAATAGAAAGCCTTGAGATAGTTGTAAGGGTATCGGGTCAATTCGCCACCACAACAAAATCGCCACCACAAAACTCACCACTACTCAGAGTCAAATCACCACCAGTGGTAAGTAACTAACGTATAGACTCGAATGGAAAGGACAAATGCAACAAACAAACCTGGTTGGGGATCAGCTCCATTTTGACAGAATCATTCCACACTGCTTCTTTCAGCCAGTTCTCTCCTTTAGCTAGCAAGACAGGTATAGGAAGGCAGAAAGGTAGGGAGACAAAGACAAACAAACACAGGAATTTGTAAGTATGGTCAGATTACCATTTTGTCCCGCCTCTTTCCTATTTCTCGTGACTGATCCATTTTAGTTACTTTTGCTTACAGATTCTTCTGCAAAATTTTTCACAAAAGTTAGTTGGTTGAATGAATATTTTCTTTTTCTCATTTCATAAACATATGACCAGGAAAAAGTAATAGAAATCCTAGAAGATATACGAACAAATTTGTTTATTTACCTGAGAGAGCTGTGAGAGAACCAAATCCACCAGGATTTGACTTTTCCTTAAGAAAGCCCTGGTTAATAAGCTGGCGCCCTGAAAAGTTGGAACAATTTAAGAGTAATTCAGTATTCAATGGCATACTAAATAAAACAAGAAGGTAAAAACATCCTTACCAAAGCTCTTCCACCACTTCTCTGGATGAAAACTAAAAGAAGCACACAAGAAAAGTAGTTGAGGTTGTTATCAATGTGTAAAAAAACTAAACATTTTTATTTTTTTATAACATGAATTCTGTAGTATTCATGAGTTATTTTTCAAACTGTGAGGTCACTATCTTGGATTTTTATAGCCAGGTGGAAGGACAGATGCAAGAAGGGCTGTAGATAAGGAGGATTAGAGAAGCTATCATGTAGCTGTCATAGCTATCATGAGGCCCTGGATATTATGAAATTTAAAGAATTAGCCATCCATCACGACAAAATGTGAGTCACTTTTCGACAAAATTGTAAATGACAACAATCACCATCTTCAAAAGTTAATATAACCAGCAGCACACGAAACTACCTACCTGTTAAGGCGTGTGCGACCTATTAATGTACAATGCTTCAAAACAAGTCGTTTTAAGAATAGTTTTATCATTTCCTCATGTCTTAAAGCGAACTCATTTTAGCTTTCCTTTTTTTAGCCGATTGAACGCTTTTTAATAACTAAGTAGTTAATATCTAAATTAGTTTAATTTTACTATCTGTATTATGTGAGTAAATATGCAATTCAGTTTTTTAACTGCTATGTATTTATGAATATATTAAACTTAAACTTAAACTTAAAAAGTTCAAGCATTGTAGATTATCATGGCTAGACTTGACACAAGCTTTCTCTCACTTGCCAGCCCCAAACTCTTTTTTCCTGGTCAGCCATCTTGGCACTCTTTGATTATTCTAAAACAAAAATTTTACAAGAATGATCTTTCTGCAAGGTGGGTGCATTTATAGAAGTCCTCTGCTAAAATATGCCACTTACCCGTAGAATAATAATGAAAGAAGAGAATTAGAGTAATCTTTAAATTCACAATCCTTTGTTATTTTAAAATTGCATCGCAATGTTTAGTTCCCAAACATAGCAAATCAGATTTATAATTTTTTCACTACAAAACATTGCCAACATGGAGTTCAGATCAAAACCTTGGTGTACTAAAGCTGATCATCAGCAGACCTTTTAGCATGTTTAAGCAACAAATGGTGCCCCAGTCTAAAGTATTCTGCCAGCTGGGTAGGCCCTGTGTCATCCATCATTCAGGCCTCACCTAAAGATGAATAATGGCCTTAAGCCTGTACCTAAGTTGGCCTCAAAGTAATACAATATACTGCTCCAAAACAGAGGTGTGAATTCTGATGAAGGTGGACTATAACTTCACATTGTATCATGAGGTAAATGTACTGCATTGTGCTAAGGTTGTACTTACTGAGCCCCGGAGCATCAAAATAGGAATTGATATACCATAGGAACCATTCCCTGCGATCTGATAAGAAAAAAACAGAGAATGTTGAGGGATTGCCAGCCCATGTAGCAGAAGACTCTATTCCATTTAACTGTACTTGACTGTTAGAGCAACAACAACCACAATGTACAAAGACAAAACAGAGATCAAATTGCATGCTGATATAAAAATCTTGAGGTACATGTGGATACTGGAGAAAGTCAATTCAAACAAGAATATCTTCAATAAATTTGCAATAAAGTTAAAGTAACATACCATTACAGCATTGAGCAACAGTTTAGCTTCTTTTGTAAAGTCTCTCTTGTCATCTTTCACATGTGGGTTAAGAGCCCTTGAAAGAAACACTCTGACTCTTTACTCATCATTTTTCAATACATAATTTATTGTGAAGATGCAGCCCAAATGTAAAGCCTTATATTCACTTGATTAATTGGTTTAAGCAGTGGTTTCTTTTAGGGAACATAACATTCTCCCAGAAGGCACTGTGGCCCACCTAACATGACAACATCAATAACAGCCTTCTTGCAGGCTGTCAAGGACATAATTCAGGTGATCATTGCAAAGTTCATAATAAACTTGATAAGAAAAGACCAGTTTGGATAGAGATTCCTGTTACAACCCATATCATTCTGATGAATGTCCAGATTTTCTAGAAATCTAATTTTGTCTGGATAATTTTTTAGTCCAAACCTCTCAATCCCTGAAGAGGTACCAGTGTTAAACTCAATATGACCTTTACTTAGGATATGACTCCATAATGTGTCACACACATCAGAGCCTAACTATGGACAGCTTGTCTAATTTTTCAATGAAAACAACACTGACCTGTTCCGGCAATTGTCACAACAGTCATCTCTTCCACCAATGCCCTTCTCAACTGAATTCTCAAAGTAAGCTAAAATTGTTCTACAGACACAAAAAACAAATTTAATTGCATCTTTTGCAAGGATTTCTTATTTTCTAACACTCGACAACTACTGTACTGCTAACACCAGAAGCAAATGGGTTTACATGGTAAACAAAACATTCCAATACACAAAATCATGTTACCCACCTTCTCCTACATTCTGTTGTAGACAAATACTGTTCAAGCTCGTTTAGCATCCCTAGTTTATGCTCCTTGAATGACTGTGCTGTGATATCATTCAGTAAGTGACTTAGGAAGGAAAATAAAATAGTTTTTAGTTCATGTTTTTGTTTGTTTAGAGAAGCAAAATGTTTGTCACTGAAATTCACTACCTAAAGAGAAGGCCAAGGTACATTTCAAAGATTTATCAATTATTTCAATCCCTTTTTTGTATGTCCATTTTAACATATGAATCCACTGAGAAATCAGTTCACCATCGAGTCTCTGTGATTCAGTGATAGAGCACCAGAATGAGATCCAAAGGTCTGAGGTTCAATTCCTCAAAGATACTCACAATTTTTACTTTGTCCCACAATCATGAAAAAAGAGAGGAAACATCTTGTTCTAAAATCCCAATAGTCTGTCATATCACCATTAATTTTGTTTCAAGTTCTCTGTTGGATTTATTAATAAAAAAACAGTGTGGGGGTATGATTTATTTTTGTCAATCAATGAGTGTTTGTGATACACAATGGGAACATCGGTTTCATATTTTCCTTAGGTCAATATTAGCATCTCTTTAAGATGAAACATGTATCAACCCAACTTGAAGTGCAAACACTCACCGGTTAAGGGAAAAGTCAGCTATGCTGTAAAACACATGACATGTACTGGGAAGGCTAAGAGAAAAAAAATCAATCAACAAGTCAGGATATCTAAAATGCAGAAAGTTCACAGGGCACAACAATAGTACTTACCCATCGCGACCAGCTCGACCCATTTCTTGGTAATAAGATTCAATATCCTTTGGTGCTACAGGAAAACCAGGCAAGAAACCCAATACACATTAAAGTAATCAGGGTATACCTTCAGAATCATTACTCAAAATAGAAAATAATATCAATACTTTTCTGTTAAACTGAGTGAAGCATTATGTTACTCAATTCTGCATCTAAGGTTTCAAAGTATGAATCAGTTAATTTGGTTCACAGAGCAAAAAAACCCTTCCAAACACAATGGAAGAACAATGAAAAAACTTTTTAGGTGCCAGGAAATATTGTACTGCCAATGTATCCTAATTTATATTGAAAATTTTAATTTCTAACCTAAAGTAAATGATGTCACTTATTTCCATCTAAATCCAGCTCACTAAAATTGAATGAACTCAACCATACCGTAACAAAAGGAGTCCTGGCAGATAATTTAAGCAAAAAACCAACAAGGGTTTCAATAACTAGATGGTAGAAAGCAAAGTAGATGGTACACAATGCAAAGTAGGTGGCTAATGGTAGATTGCTCCTCACTCAAACATTTTTCATTTCAGAGAAAAAACGAGGTGAAGTTGCAGCACAGAGACAGTGAGTTTTGATAGTTGCCAGCTCTTAGTAAAAACCCTGACCCATTGTTGAAGATTTAATCTTATCATTTAAATTAGCATGGTGTATTCAGGGGCTTCATTAATTAATGTTTTCTGCAGGAGGGCAACTGGTTTTCACAGGCGGGCAAAACTCTTTGAACTGAACTTCTTTACTAGATAAACTTTCCTCCAGACCANGGTCAATTTGCCCGGTGCCTGGCCCTTAATGAAACCCCTGTGTATTCTTACCGAAATAAAAAGACAACTATTATGCAAGAAAATGAACAACGTCATATCATTTCAAGGGCATCCACACAAAATAGTCTTGGTAAGAGGACCCTCAAAAAACAAGAGAGAAACCTTAGCTTGAGAGATATAATGGGTAAGTACAATTTAAACTGTAGCTACCATTCAGTAAAAGACATTGTAAAGGGATGTACAAGGACCACTATTTACTTTAGGCTAATTACACAATTGTATACCTCCATAATGGATAATTTTTCTCACATCTGGCTTATCAATCCCCATTCCAAAGGCCACTGTTGCAACTATGCACTGAGTCAAAAATATTGACAAAAAGTAAGAATGTGGACATGGACTAAAAAGATTAAATCTGAGAGCCAATCTGGTATTCAAGTTCAAGATGTGAGAAATATCATGCAGACAGATGCACACCTGAATATTGTCTCTTATAAAGAGATGATGAACTCTTTTCCTTTCCTTGGGGCTTAGGCCAGCATGATAAAATTCACATCTCACCCCAAGACCTGCAAGTTTATATGGAAAGTAAAAGTAAAGGGCTTTCGAAATTGAATAATTCCCTGATATAACAAAACAAAGCACCATTGAGGGTATTAAAAAATAAAAGAAACTCATCTGGTGTTAAAGCAAGGAATTAAGCTAGTCATTAACTTGTCAGGTAATGAATTTTCTTATAGTATTGCAAAATGCTACCCTTAATCCTATTTTTAAGTGCAGTCTGTGTAATGATTTTTAAAAAGCCTGCAAAAAGCTTTGTCATGGAGGTACAGAGGGACTTGTGATTAAATAATGGAAACATATCCTAGCTCAAAAATCAGAGTATTATGAGTCACTTGCGTTATACAAAAATCCTTAAAGCTTATCATGTTCTTGATATGCACAAAATAAATTACCATGGAGTTCACTGACAACTGTTTCTGTTGCCTTCTTTGTTGGACAGTAAACAATTGTTGGACCATCAAAACAATACTCAATCTTATTTCTGTAGACAAACAAATAAAATCCTCAGACAATCTTATCACAAGCTTCAACATTTTCATTGAGGTTTAGGGAACATAACATTCTCCCAGAAGGCACTGTGGCCCACCTAACATGACAACATCAATAACAGCCTTCTTGCAGGCTGTCAAGGACATAATTCAGGTGATCATTGCAAAGTTCATAATAAACTTGATAAGAAAAGACCAGTTTGGATAGAGATTCCTGTTACAACCCATATCATTCTGATGAATGTCCAGATTTTCTAGAAATCTAATTTTGTCTGGATAATTTTTTAGTCCAAACCTCTCAATCCCTGAAGAGGTACCAGTGTTAAACTCAATATGACCTTTACTTAGGATATGACTCCATAATGTGTCACACACATCAGAGCCTAACTATGGACAGCTTGTCTAATTTTTCAATGAAAACAACACTGACCTGTTCCGGCAATTGTCACAACAGTCATCTCTTCCACCAATGCCCTTCTCAACTGAATTCTCAAAGTAAGCTAAAATTGTTCTACAGACACAAAAAACAAATTTAATTGCATCTTTTGCAAGGATTTCTTATTTTCTAACACTCGACAACTACTGTACTGCTAACACCAGAAGCAAATGGGTTTACATGGTAAACAAAACATTCCAATACACAAAATCATGTTACCCACCTTCTCCTACATTCTGTTGTAGACAAATACTGTTCAAGCTCGTTTAGCATCCCTAGTTTATGCTCCTTGAATGACTGTGCTGTGATATCATTCAGTAAGTGACTTAGGAAGGAAAATAAAATAGTTTTTAGTTCATGTTTTTGTTTGTTTAGAGAAGCAAAATGTTTGTCACTGAAATTCACTACCTAAAGAGAAGGCCAAGGTACATTTCAAAGATTTATCAATTATTTCAATCCCTTTTTTGTATGTCCATTTTAACATATGAATCCACTGAGAAATCAGTTCACCATCGAGNAGTACTTGGATACCACGACTACGTTAAATAAACTGATTCAAGGCTTGTCCGTAAAATATATCCTCGCTTTATAGTGTGTCTTCATTTGCGAAACTCATAGTTGTCGTCGAAATTTTGCTTCGCTTGTGTCGGCCGCTACAAATAGTGTGAAATAAGTGAACCTTGAACCTTGAACCTAAACTATTGTCTTATAACAATTACTTTAAAGTATGACACAACCACACCTTCCTTTTCTTTTTCTTTTTACTTTGTCTGTAAAATGCACAACGCCAGCCATGTAACCAGTGGTTTGTTGAAGTCAATCTTGAACCATATAAAGCTTAAAATAGTGATCTTAAAAAGAAAATTCTTGAGTTCAATTACCTGTCAAATCCAGTACAAACAAAAGCAGGATTTCTCAGTTTCAGAGACTGACAGATGTCTCTTCTTACAGCAGGAGTAGCAGTGGCTGTCAAGGCAACGATGGGAACCTAAGTTTACAAAATGGAGATGCAGGAAAGGGTCATATTATGTCAAAGTAAATACACATTAAACTCTATTGTTCTCAGTGGGATGTCTCAGCCGTTTCAAACAGTTTGGCCTGAGTACCAAATGCAGTTAGCTTTCCTCTGCAATAAATTATTGCAAATCAAAACCAATAACTTATAATAAGTGATAAAACTCAGTTGATTGTTATAATCAATTGAGCTTAGCCTTAAGCTAGTTAGCAGGCAATATAGTATTTATTCTGAGTTCTCTATAGTTTCTTTTAACTCTTTCCCTCCCAAAATTTTTTCAGCAATTCTCTTCAATGTCTGCAATACAATTTGTATGTTAGCTTGCAGAATTTGGTAGTGGATCAACTACTAATCCCCTATCTATATTTTTCTCAATTCTCATCACTTGTCTGCTTGATGTTGTTTTGACATTGAAAGGAGAAATTATGTCTTGGTCATTCATGGCTATGTAGTAAAAGGGTTAAGTGTAGATTGCCATAACAGTTGAAACTATGTTTTTCATTAAAACATCCTCATACGAATTTAAATCAAGTCACTCTTAGGGTGTTCCACACTTTGAGATGAGTTAACATATTCCATCACTTCCCTTTTCAAAAAAAAAAAACAATGCAAAATGAAGCAAAACAAAACTCCACCTTGAAATGATAGAAATTAGTTACCAGTATTCTAGAAAATTGACAGGTAGTAAGTATATCAAATATTTTAAGATATTTCCTTACAGTAGGAAGTTTATCCCTGATACATCCGAGGGTACGATACGAGGATCTGAAGTCATGACCCCACTGAGACACACAATGTGCTTCATCTATTGCAACTAGTGTCAAACCTGTTCAGCCAATAAATATCAAATACAATTATTTCCAGTTATTTCTTTTCAGTTAGTGCAACTCCTTGTTTGATCGAATAAATAAAGATTTTGTGCAAAAACTTCAATGCATGAAAATAACAATTTAACAGATAACTGAAAAAGAAGCCTACTAGTGCTAAGAACATCTGGTAGCCCATCGATGACTAGCAGCAGTCTAGTAGTGTTAACTGGTTTATAGATACCTTAACTTCACTTTTTTTCATTAATTTCCATTATATCCTCACCTACAGACATCTGCACTTGGGCTAGAAATGTAGTGTCTGTGGAAACATATTCAGGAGTCAAGTATACCACTCTATATTGTCCACTGGAGAAGAAAAGTACAAGTCATGATCAGAACTGACTATAAGACTTTTAAAAGTCATACAGCAGAGGGAAGCATTTTTGATACACAGATCATATCTACTACCTTTCAAAGGTAGTTGGAAAATTTCAAGAATACCTCAAAACTCCAGCTTTTACTTCAGCATTATTGCTTTGAGCAGACCCAAGATAACAAGCTGCGATGCTGTAAAGCCTAAAATATTATAACGGTTAGAGAGGAAAGATAGCAATTATATGGCTTTCAAGTTTTACTTAATGTAAGCCTAAACAATGAACTCTTAACTGAATTTGCACTTGATATGGTAGCCAAAAATTAAATCTCTGAAAAGTAAATGCCAGTCATTGAAGTGGACTGACTCTTGTGACAATTTGTTGTTTTGAAACCTTCACCACCTTCCATCAAACAAACTTTGGCATTCATTACTTCATGCTTATATACTGTGAAACCAACTTATTCCAGGTCAACAAATCTTCTGACTGGTACTCAATAAAAACTGAGCAGTATCCAATGATATAATGGACAAGGACAAAGTCCATTAAAATGCAAAAACACTTGAGATTTTGCCTTAATAAGAATCAAGAATGACTTGTCAATTTTGAGAGCTGGGAGAGAAAGCTGACTGTGTTTGAAGTACAATAAACCCACAAGGGGGGTTGTTTACGTTTTCTTTGTTTTGACCGCTTACCAATACCACATGATATTTTTACTTGTCTATGGCGTTATTTGTACTCTACGGAGTGTGGTTGGATAATAATAATAAT